ACTATAAATGGAAATTTACCTGATGTAGCAACTGCAAGAGAAATTTTTCCTTTGACTCTAATTTTGGCCAGGATCAAATTCAATAGAAACGTTTTACCCGTACCACCAGGAGCGTCGATAAATAAGATGCCACCCAAACCACAGTCATGACGTTTTAAAATTTCATCATAAATTTTCTTCTGATCTTTGTTAAGCAGCGGTTCATTTATTCTTATATATTCATTCAATTGCGTGATGTCATAGCTACTTTCTCGTATCAATTCTCTATTCAAATCATTGTTATTTTGGTTCTCTTGTTCTTTGTTTGGAGACTCCATTCCAAAATAGCTCAAGTTTCTCCCGCTCATATCATTAACTTTGTTTTCAATTAATATGAGTGATTTGTTGAATATTATTGGTGAATAATTGAGAGAATTATCTATTTGTTTCGCTTTATACAAAATATCCTCGGCCATTGCTTCTTTATACTTCTCCCATAAAGCTACGGGATTCGATAGTTGACAGCATGATATCATTATTGCAAAGCATGTTCTAATTTTTTCAGGTGAGTCTGTTGCCACAGCCTCCTTCAATGTTTCGTCCCATTGTTCATCATTTTCTAAATATCCTGATTTTAAGCATGATTCTTGAAATGATTCGCAAATAATTCCATTGAGAGTTTTCAAATGATCGAAGGAAGTTGGTCCTTTTATTTTGTGTAAAAGAATGCGAAGACAAAAGCATTCCATATTTCGTAAATGAACTGTGTATACTCGCCCGATCATATCTGCTTTACGTATGCCTGGAAATCCTTGCACTAATGCACCATTTTTTCTGCGGTTAAACTTTTTTTGTTTATCGTCGAATGTGTAGTACTGTGGCACTTCATTATACAGTAGTGTTTTTGCAAAATCGTCGTTTGAACATAACTTAAAAAACGCAGTTAATGTAGTGTTCGGTGGATTAGCCAATCTTTCTTGTAAATTATTTTCATTGAAATATATGCGTTGTCCATTTGGGAGATGAACATGAAGATGCATAATTGCAGGATATCTTTCATGTGTTGAAAAACCTAAGATTCTCCATACTGCTTCATTGGTGCTGATATATCTACCGCATTGATAATTGCTAATTTCATCGATATTTCTTTCGCCGGACTCCAGTTAAACACACCATGATCAGCACCTTTATACACGTATTTTAAAATATATTTTATTGATTTGACAGAATTACAAAATTCTACGTTGATGTGTGAGTCAAACAATCTACTGAGCAATGGATTGTAAGGTACCACCCATGAATTGTCCACTGTCAATCGCTCCCATTTTCCATTTATTTTTGCATTTATTTTGTAGCTTTCTCCGCCATCTGAAGTACTTCTTCTTCTGTAAGATGGATAGCCATCATCGGATGTTTGTGTTTCCGATAGTAATTGTTTTGGAAACTTTTTCGTGCACTTTCCTTTATCCATGCATGGCGATTTTGGATTGAAATGGCCACATGGACCGTGTATCATATTTTTCGTAATGGTTTCAAACAATTTCGGGTCTGAAACTGGATTCGGTAGCTCTGCACTAATAACTCGATCGATGTCATTGACATCAAATTGTTCTTCCAACCAAATTAAGATGTGTGCGTGAGGCAGTCCACGTTTCTGCCACTCAATCGAATACAAATTATATTTGACTTTTCCGAATATCTGTCCTTTTATTATTAAGTCCATAAGCTTCTTCAGTTTTTGTTCAAATATTCGTGCGATTAAATCATGTCGATCTTTACTGTGCTGTCCTTCAAATAAATTCTCTTTCATTTCTTTACAATTCGGATTGAATGTGAATGTGATGAAAAATGTTGGTTTTCCTCCATGTCGTACATAAGTAAGTGCGTCCTGGGCATATTCATGCAAATGGCGTGGGCCACCAATAAATGTAGACGGAAGAATCACAACTTTTCCGAAATTGTTCGAATTGTCATTTGGTCTCACAGAATCTTTGAGATGGATATAATCTTCAACTCTCAATTTCTTCTGGTTGAAGCGGATGAATTGAAGTCTTTCTGTTTCTATTTTCGCATACATGTCCACCAAATACTGATGGAATAACTGTTTGAAATATAGCAAATGATTGCCCGCTCGAACCATTATTTTGTAAGCGTAGTATGCCATCGATGTAACAGTTTCATCTATTTCCAATTTCGTGTTGGGGTCTCTTTTCTTAAGGTTAATAGAATAACCTGGTTCGCCTCTTGGAAACATCAGCGGATACTGAAGTGCATCATAAGCAATATGAGTTTCACAGATGTTTTTAACTTCATTTGTACGTTTTTTCAATAATATATCTCTGCGTTCGAATTCATTTCCATTTATGATAATTGCTACCTCATTTATGCTTGGAGCATTGAATACACGCGCGTGTTCTCCAGTAGGCCGTTTGTTTGCTTTAATCACAACGTTAAAATCATCATTAACTTCACTTTCCATTGCTGTTTTGAAAATTTTAATGTAGTTGTTATGTTGATGTAACATATTTTGTAGTTCACGCAAAAGTTCCAAATCTGTATCGGGAACAATTTCCTTCCGTTTTTTCAACTCTTCCTCTTCATTTCCCATAAAATAAATTTGTAGAAACTTTGCATCTTTTTTGTTTTCAGCCACCAATGCGCCTACTTGGTGATATACTTGACCTTGAACTTTGAAATTAAAAATATCGGGATTGACAGTTTTTGATGTTGTTCGAAATGAAGTCATGTTGAAACATGCGTTGTATTTACGTAATAGTGGTAGAAATTTTTTTGACTTTTGATGATTATTGTTAATTAAATTTAACAATGGCTCTGGCAACCTTTCATATTGTGGCAATGAAATTCGACCAGATGAGCAGCACATATTTTTCGATTCTCCAACAAAACGCAATGCTTTACAATAATGGCACTTAATATCCATTTTTCCAATATTTATTTCCGGCAAATCTTCGTATGCATTGCGTGCATCATAATTAAAAGCATGATTTTTTAGTCGTTTCAAATTATTAATGGTCAAAGATAGTAGCATCACTGAACGCACCATTTCTGCAACATTGTTGGACATTGTTTCATTCTGATTTGAATTTCGTAATGACTTTCTGACATATTTCCGATTTTCTGCTCTCTTTCTAAAACTCCTTCTTACGATTTTCGGCCTAATGATCAATAAGTTGAATTTCAATTGCCAATTTCTACATCCAAATAATAAAAAGTTATCAAATTGAACTTACATTTTCAATGAAAAACCATTCGATTACAAAAAGAAAGCAGAATATTGATTTGTTTTAACTCGTTAGAGACAATCAAATAAATTGATGAAAAACGAATGCTTACTTATTTATGTGTAAGCTTTTCAAATGTTCAATCAATGACAACGACAACAATAAATAAATATAGCATACTTTGTTTGATAAGAAAGAAATACTATACAAAACTTCTCTTGAAAAATCATATTAAAGTGCATGCTAAATATTGTACATTCAATTGTTTTCAACTAAAATCACAAAAGAAATTTAAAAGAAAAAAGCTCAACATTTTTATTGTTTGAATCATTTATTATTTTGAACGTGTCATCGTTGTTTCCAAACTTAGAATCATTTATTATTTATTTATCTTTTATTTTTTTGAACGTTTCATCGTTGTTCCCAAACGTTTGTCCAATGTTGATGGTCTCAATTTAAAGTTGGTCTTTGATGGGCCGGCTTTTTTGTTCTTGTCATCATTCACATTCTTTTTCATTTGCAAATTTTTCGCGATTCCCTTTTCAACAACTGATTGGCATCCGTCAATTGCTCTTTGATAATCGTTGGGATTTAGCCTCTTGATTCCGAATCTATGTAAAAGCAATTCGTGGCTTCCTAGCTCATATTTTCTTTTCGCAAGCCATAATCTGTTCACACGAACACCACCTTTAATGGTTATACCCTTTTTTTGAAGGTATTCGACATACTTAGTTGCGACTTGTTCCGCCTCTACCATTAATGGCTCCCAATCCATTTCTTCTTCTAAATATACTTTGTAACTCATTTTGAGACAACAGTTCTGTTTGCTTACTTTTCAATTATGATACTTTTCACATTGAAAGAACAACCAAGAATAACAAAGCATACTCAGTTTCCATATATAATAAGTCGTGTTTGAAAATATCAATCTAAACTCAATCATTTTTCCTTATCTATGAGTCCTATGATTTTCCCTGAACATTTATCTAAACTCACACTATTAAAAGAAATATAAGTATTCATACTTTGGCGGTTATGTTTTACCACGATTTCCATAACGGACCATGATGGTCGACATCAATAATCGTGGTAAATAATGTTGAACCATGATATACTATAATGTCCAACTAAAATAACCGTGGTAGACCATTATGTTCGTCATGGAAACCACCAAAAAATCAGTGTTAAACCATGATGAACCACTATGCCCGACCACAATAATCGTGTTAAATGATGTTAAATCGTATTAGACCTTGATGGACCAACATTTCCCACCACAATAACCGTGTTAAATCGTGTTGGACAATGATGTCAGGCAATTATATCCTACCTTATTAGCCGTGTTAAATGATGTTAAATCGTGTTAGACCATGATGGACCATCATTTTCGACCACAATAACCGTGTTAGACCATGATGTACGTTTTTGTCCGACCACAATAACCGTGTTAAATGATGTTAAAATACGTTTTAACTCATATTAGACCACGATGGCTGTTAAACCAACTTCAAAAGTACCCCTCCCCATAATTTTGGGCCGAGGAATCCGAATTTGATCATGAAATTTACAAATTTTGACATCGCCCATACAAATATTTAAAAAATAAAAATCGACCGTGATGGAGTAGTCCAATTTGGTCCAAAACCTCGGACGAAAAAAACAAAGAACCGTCGTCAATCAAAACAAAAGAGAAGAAAATCGTTGCCGAACCACAAAAACAACTACAAGAACCAAAACAACAAAAACAACAAAAACAACAATCAACTAGCCTAACACCAAATGAATTTATTGGTATTTCGATGTGTCTACTATTTCTCATTTATATTGTTGTTTTCATGATAAAGCGGCCACGACGCAATAACATAAGCAGAGACGAACCACAAAATGTTGAAATGATCGAAGCGCCAGAACTAGAGTCAGAATCAGAGCCTATTGCATTACGTGTAACCCAACAACATAAAGGTAGTAAGTTTAATGCAATTTGAATCATTGTTTGTTGTCCCAAACTCAGTAAATTCATACATTTCCAAAATTGAGTAAATGTAATATAAGCAATGCTCTTTTCCTAAACAGAGTAAATGTTTATGTATATCTTTATCTAATTGAATTTCTTTTCTTCTTTCTCCTTTTAAATAGAACAAAGTAGATTACGAAGAGCTACAGCTTCCCGTGCTACGTCAACAATAACATCGGGAGCTCTAGAGCAACAACAACAACAACAACAACAATCCCTTAGCCCAACATCATCTGATGCTCTTCGTAGTTTATCACCGATTTCAGTTTCATCATCTGCATCATCTGATTGTGATAATGAAATGCAATCGGTGGGCTCGCAGCCAACACAGAGATCACAAGCAGCACAATCAATCGGTCAGCCTGTTCATCGGCGCACACAGCAGCGCATAAATACATTGCACGATGCACCACAAAGCATCCCAAATGGCAATCACATAATGCAAAATATAAATCAGTTGAACGCAATACAACAAGATACACCAACTCGATCAGTTGCGAAAGAAATGAATGCTCAGGAATTTGCTGTAGGTTTTTAAAAACATTTTCGTTAAAACTTTTCGATGGTTTCCAATGATATTCACATTCACAATGTTGTTTTTAAATGAAATCATCCAATGATTTAAATGGTTTTTGAACCTAAACTGAGCGCATTCAATTTAAATATTTCAGAAACACTATGAATCAATGCATAATGATCGATATATCGATCCATTGGAAATGGCTGCTGAATGGGCGACCTATCGCCGAAATAACGCGTTGCGGAGACGTTTGCCGTCAGCATCACAGCAAAATAACAGCAATGACATACGTATACCGAGTTCATCATTATCAACATCATCGGTGGAAGCTTTTCAACAACAAAATGATTCACAGTCAGATCAACAAATTGAACTAGAAGAACAATCACTGGATACTGTATTATCATCACAATCATCGTCGAGAGATCTAGATCGACAGCAACTGCAACTGCAACTGCAACAACAACTTGGAGGTAAGTTCAATTACACACAATATCCAAATGACACTTACACTAGTTAATTTAACATATATATATTTAAAAAGATCTTGAATCGATTGATGATATTATTGCCATTGGACATGAGGAAGAAGAAGAAAAAGAAGAAGTAGTGCAAGATCTAGAGATGCCAACATTATCAATATCGTCTGATAGTGATGGCAACCACGAACCATCGGCAAATGTGGAATGGCTTCAACAACAACAACAACAACAACAACAATCCATCAGCCCAACATCATCTGATGCTCATCGTAGTTTATCACCGATATTAGTTTTATCATCCGCATCGTCTGATAGTGATAATGAAACGTTGGCGGCCAAAAGAATACGGCTTGAACAGCAGCAGCAGCAGCAGCCACAAACACCGGCTTCAGTCGTACCGTCACC